CCCACGCCTTCCTATCGAGACTTGGAGCGCAGCCACCGGCCATCATCACAGCGGGACACAGACCGGAGGGACCGGGACAGGTATCGGTGCCTGGGGCTGTGGCTGTGAGCCACTTTGCTGTGAAAAAGCAGTGTAAGAGCAAGGCCTGGCGGTGGGCACCGGTTCCTACCTTGTGCTGTTTTTTCAGGTCTGTGAGGAGCAGGTACTCAGACAAGACCCCACTGCCCACCCCGTCGTACAAATACAACGAGTGGGCTGACGACCGGAGACACCTGGGAGCCACACCGCGGCTGTCCAGAGGCAGAGGTGAGGAGCCTGAGCAGTGGCAGAAACCCCTGCCCCTGCACAGTGCATGGTTGGGCTCTGTGGGATTTCCTCCAGAGTGGCCACAAGGCTGATGCTGGGGCTGACCAGCTCACCCCCTGCAGGGCGTCACGCAGACGGGGAGGAGGGCATCGCCTTTGAGACGGAGGAGGAGCGGCAGCAGTGGGAGGACGACCAGCGGGTGAGAGCTTGAAGGCGGGTGAGGAGCGGGGCAGACAGCAGGCTGGGGGCTGCTGGGCTGCGCTGGCCGGGCTGCAGGTGTGTGTGGCAGGGGCTGCCCTGTAGGGCAGTGGAGCTGAGGACTGCATCTCTCCCTTCCCAGCAAGCTGACCGAGACTGGTACATGATGGATGAGGGCTATGATGAGTTTCACAACCCCTTGGCCTACTCCTCCGAGGAGTATGTGAAGAAGCGGGAGCAGCACTTGCACAAGCAGAGGCAGAAGCGCATCTCGGCACAACGGCGGCAGATCAATGAGGTAGGGGCGAGACGTGTGGTTGGCTGCTCTGACTGTGTGAGCGCTGCTTGTTTTGCTGTTCCTGAGAGATCCGCTTGCTGGCAGTGCAGGCTGAGCCCTTGCTCTCAGGACGGTCTGCGTCCTGGCCCAGGCTGAGTGAGGGCTTGCAGGGAAGCTGTTGTTCAGTTCCTCTGGAAAGTACAGCCCCACGACTCCTGCATGGGGCAGAACTCACAGTCAGTGACTGGTGGATCACAGTGTCCAGGGCGGCAGAATGCAGAGAGCTATGCTCTGCTGTGCTGGGGGTGTGTTACCAGGGCTGTCTGCTGCTGGCCCAGTGGCTGCAGGGGGCTTATTGCTCTCCACATGTCAGCAGGTTTGTGTCCAGGCTTCCTGGTGTATTCTGAGCATGGCAGGGGCCTTGTGGGTGATGTCTGTCCTGAGGACAATCCTGCTGACCTTGTGCTTCATACAGCCAGTCTGTGTTTCCCTTACTCGGCTGCCTCCAGTAGCTGTTCCTTCCCCAGTGCTTACCTTCAGGCTCCCTAGGCTGGAAACACCAGTTTCACGTCGTTGCCAGTGTCGGTCCCACACCTGAGCTCCATGTTTTGGTGTGGTCCGCCCAGTTTTCCTGTGGGGCTTCTGCATGTTTTCTGATATGTCGTTTCCTGCAGGATAATGAGCGCTGGGAGACAAATCGCATGCTGACCAGTGGTGTGGTTCATCGGATTGAAGTGGATGAAGATTTTGAGGAGGACAACTCAGCTAAAGTGCATCTGTTGGTGCACAACCTTGTGCCTCCTTTCCTAGATGGAAGGATTGTCTTCACCAAACAGGTAGTGACTGTGGCTGATGGCAGGGAGCCCCACAAGCGTGAGCTCTCTGTCCTGATGCCACACTTCTTCCCTCTAGCCGGAGCCAGTCATCCCTGTCAAGGATGCCACCTCAGATTTGGCCATCATAGCCCGGAAAGGCAGCCAATTGGTGCGCAAGCACAGGGAGCAAAAGGAGCGCAAGAGGGTATGCTGTGACCTTTTGGCGTAACACCCCGCTGTACACGTGTTACGTAGTGCCTTTGGATGTTGCATAAGGCTTTGGCAGCAGTGAGACATTCATATTTTATGACCTGGGACATCTTGGCAGACCAGCACATTGCAAGGTCTCATAAGCAGCTGCTGTGGTGTGATTTCCTTGCGCGCTGCCTGGGACGTGAGTCACTGTGCACTTGTGCAGAGTAGTCTGACCCAAAGGACTTCGGATCATGGGAGAAGGGAGCAGATGGAAGAATGTGAGGTAGCTTAGGGACATTCAGCAGGCAGTGTGGCAGCAGGATGTGCGTTATCATTCCTCAGCAGAAGAGTTATGAGGAGGAATATGCAGTAGGGTAGCGTACCAGGTTTTGGGGGTGTTTTCTAGGGACTTTTTCTAGAGCTTATGTGGTAGCCCTGGGGAAAGCACAGACGTGCTCCTTGTAAATTGAACCTGAGCTGGATTTGAGCTATGTATGGTGGAAGCTAAACTGATACCAGAAACAAGGGCAAACAAAGGCAGGAGAGAGGTCTGTGAGCACTTGTCAAGAGCGGGAAGATTATCTCTGGTTCAGGTTTGTGTAGCTTTAAGTTCAAATTGAGCGGAAGGATCACTGTTTTCTTAGAGATGATTGGTCATCTTGTGCCTGAAGTCTCAAGGTCAGTGTCTAAAAGCTCCGCTCCAGTTCACTTGGAAGAGGGGGATTTGATGTGGGAACGGGGTACGTGTTCTGTCATGTAGCACTGGGGAATTACGGAGCTAATAGGCTTTTCTAGTTTTATAAGTAGGATTAGAGAAGAATTATTTGTCAGTGCTTGCTCTGCCAAAGTTTTGTTGCTCTCTGTCCTCCTAGGCTCAGCATAAGCACTGGGAGCTGGCAGGCACAAAGCTGGGAGACATTATGGGGATCAAGAAAGAGGAAGAGAAGGACGAGATGGTGACAGAAGATGGGAAAGTGGATTACAGGTAGGAGCTTGCTTGGAGTTGCTCCTGCTCAGCGGTGATCAGGGCTGTAGGCATAGCAAAGTGTGGAGAGGCAGTTTCATGACTTCTGGTGTTTTTCCTTAGGACTGAGCAGAAGTTTGCTGAACACATGAAAGAAAAAAGCGAAGCCAGCAGTGAGTTTGCCAAGAAGAAATCGATTCTGGAGCAGAGGCAGTATCTGCCCATCTTTGCTGTGCAGCAGGAGCTGCTCTCCATCCTCAGGTATGGCTGCTAGGAGCTGGTCATGGAGCATCCCCAGGGCTTTGGCCTACATCTCGGGAACCCAAGTTCTCTGAGATACATGGCCTGTTTGGAAGCTGTACCCCCAGGAAGCAGAGCCCGTTGCTGTGTGTGGTTGGTGGCAGCTCCTGCCTTGCCTGGATGGGCAGCCAGGGCTGTGAATGCAAAAGCCCTTGTGCAGCATATGGAGAAATACGTTCTCCCTTTCTGCAGAGACAACAGCATTGTGATTGTGGTGGGGGAGACGGGCAGTGGGAAGACGACTCAGCTGACGCAGTACCTGCACGAGGACGGCTACACAGACTACGGCATGATCGGCTGCACCCAGCCCCGCAGAGTGGCGGCTATGTCGGTTGCCAAGCGGGTCAGCGAAGAGATGGGGGTGCGCCTGGGAGAGGAGGTGAGTGGACGCAGGGGTACAGCCTGAGGACAGTGAGTACGTGGGGCTGGTGGAAGGCGTGCTGCTATCTCTGCCCTCCCAGGTGGGCTATGCCATCCGCTTTGAGGACTGCACGTCTGAGAACACGGTGATCAAATACATGACAGATGGGATCCTTCTTCGTGAGTCACTGCGAGAGGCGGACCTGGACAACTACAGTGCTATCATCATGGATGAGGCTCACGAGCGCTCGCTCAACACTGACGTGCTCTTTGGCCTGCTCCGGGAGGTGCGTGTGAACCTGGACGAGAGGACAGTGACACAGGGCTTGTCTTGAAGCAGAGCATTGGCAGGGCCAGCCCTCTGCCAGGCCTGGGGCAGGGAAGCAGAGCTGCCACGTCTCTCTGCATGTGCTGCTCCACCATCCTGGAGCCTGGTGCTGGGGGTTAAATCTCCCCTCATGCCACAGTGCTGCCAGAGGCTTGCTGGTAACTGTCAGAAACTCCAGGGACAGAGATCTTTGGATTAAGGCTTCCTGGACTGAGGTTGGTTGGTCTTAACTGCAGAGATCCTGCAGCATCTGTGTTCCCAGACATTAGTGGCTGGTGCCTCAGAGTACAGCAGAAGCTCTGTCCTGTGCTGTTGTCTCAGTAATAATGGAAGCAGCCTTCAGCTGTGCGCAAATGCCCCTTCCTTATTGTTCCCTTCATCTGCTTTCTAGGTGGTGGCCCGACGCTCAGACCTGAAACTTGTAGTCACCTCAGCCACCATGGATGCGGATAAGTTCGCCTCCTTCTTTGGGAATGTTCCCATTTTCCACATTCCTGGGCGCACTTTCCCTGTCGATATTCTTTTCAGCAAGGTACAGTCAGAGGGAAGTTCTGTTGTGATGGGAGGGGGCTGTGGCTTGTGCGTACCGTGGTCTGTGGTGGGCAGAAAGGACGGGGAGGAGTGGCCATGCTGTGGAGGCAGGGCAGGTGAGCGTTGGTGTCTGTGACCTGGGCTGTGCCTTTCAGACCCCACAAGAGGATTATGTGGAGGCTGCAGTGAAGCAAGCCCTGCAGGTCCATTTGTCTGGTGCTCCCGGAGACATCCTTGTCTTCATGCCTGGCCAGGAGGACATAGAGGTAAGCTGCAAGGTCAGGCACTGTCCTGCCTCCTTGTTGTTTTAATCTTAGGTTTACACCCCTCTTTGTGTCTAGGTGACCTCAGAGCAAATTGTGGAGCACCTTGAGGAGCTGGAGAAGGCGCCTGCTCTTGCTGTACTGCCCATCTACTCTCAGCTACCGTCAGACTTGCAGGCCAAGATCTTCCAGAAGGTGCTGATGTGTGCTCTGCGACAGGGGTGGGGACAGGGGAAACTAGAGCAGGGAAGATTACTGAGCGTGAGAGGGAGGTGCAGGCGTGCTTTTGGTATTGCATGTGGAGGGTGAGAGAAAGCAGATGCCCCCCCTCACCTTCCCAAGAGTCACCCCTGTCCTTCTGGGTTCTGTGCTGTTGCTCTGTGCTCCTCAGCAGTGCAGAGACTCATGCCCAGGGGTTTGACTGATGTGCAATACGCTTGCAGGCTCCGGATGGTGTCAGGAAGTGCATTGTCGCCACAAATATTGCAGAGACCTCTCTGACAGTGGACGGTATCATGTTTGTGATCGACTCTGGCTACTGCAAGCTGAAGGTAAGCCAGGATTTCCTGTACTGTTCATGTCTGATGTCTGGGGTTGGGTGGAGGCAGTTCTGTGGTAGTGATTCAGCCTTCTTCTTTATTTCAGTCTGTTGTTCTTGTGCTCCACAGGTCTTCAACCCCCGTATAGGCATGGACGCACTGCAGATCTACCCCATCAGTCAAGCCAATGCCAATCAGAGGGCAGGCCGAGCTGGCCGAACAGGCCCAGGCCACTGCTTCAGGTAGGCATGTCACTGGTGTTCCTGTTCTGTCATATCTGCAGCCTGGCTTCGGGTTATATATTTTTCTCAGTGGAGCTGTCCATGATTTTGAACTGGGGGGATGAGGGCCATAGGCGAGCCTTGAGACCTCCTCCTTTGGACCTCCTGTCTCTGCAGAGGAAAGGATGTGCTCCAGTCTCTTCCCTTGCCCATCTTCACTGGTGGCTGTTCAGCCTTTGATGCTCTTGGGATAACAGCCAAGCCAAAGGCAGCTTTTTCAGGGCTTTGCTTGGGAGCTGGCCAGCCCCCAGGGAAGGACCCTGCTCGAGAAGGGGGTGAACTGCGCTGCAGCCCAGGCATCCTGGTCTGCTGGGGGGGGCCATGCTTTGGTGGGGGTAGCGTGGCTGCGTTTTGGCCAAGGTAGCGGTTCCTCGCCAGGTTATGGGGGCTGTCCTGGCTGAGCGCGGCATTGCTGCCACATGCCTCACCTCGCTGGGCTGGGCAGTGACTGCGAATCGGTGGGAATGCAGTGGCCTGAACGGGAGGAGTGTTCTCTTGGTGTCTGTTCCCCAGGCTCTACACCCAGAGCGCCTACAAGAACGAGCTGCTCACAACCACAGTGCCTGAGATCCAGCGCACCAACCTGGCCAACGTAGTGCTTCTGCTCAAGTCCTTGGGTGTGCAGGACCTGTTGCAGTTCCACTTCATGGATCCGCCCCCCGAGGACAACATGCTGAACTCCATGTACCAGCTGTGGATCCTGGGGGCCCTGGATAACACAGGTACTGACTGTGGGGCAAGCTGTCAGCCCATGGGACTGGGCCCTGCCCAGCTGCTGATCCATCTGCTGTTTCTACAGGTGGTCTGACCTCAACGGGACGTCTCATGGTGGAGTTCCCTCTGGATCCTGCACTCTCCAAAATGCTCATTGTTTCCTGTGACATGGGTTGCAGCTCTGAGATCTTGCTCATTGTCTCCATGTTGTCTGTTCCCGCCATCTTTTATCGGCCTAAGGTACCTGTTGGCAGCATTCAGTGGTGTGGGGCCTTCACCTACTCCTTGACTAATTCGTGTTCTTTGCTCACCCTTCAGGGCCGAGAGGAGGAGAGCGACCAAGTGCGGGAGAAATTCGCTGTTCCAGAGAGTGATCACTTGACCTACCTGAACGTTTACCTGCAGTGGAAGAACAACAGCTATTCCACGCTGTGGTGCAACCAGCACTTCATCCACGCCAAGGCCATGCGGAAGGTGAGGCTCTGGCCGTGAGGCTGGGGGGGAACCTTGTGCAGGGGAGGGGTCTGACCGCCACACGGCTTCGCAGGTGCGGGAGGTGCGTGCCCAGCTCAAGGACATCATGGTGCAGCAGCGGATGAGCCTGGCATCCTGTGGTACTGACTGGGACGTCGTCAGGAAGTGCATCTGTGCTGCATATTTCCATCAGGCTGCAAAGCTGAAGGTGAGCGGTGTCTGTGCTGGTCTGGGGCTGAGAGGCCCTGTCTGGGAGCAGGGGTTTAACCACACTTCTCTTTGCAGGGCATTGGGGAGTACGTGAACATCCGCACAGGCATGCCCTGCCACCTGCACCCCACGAGCTCTCTGTTTGGCATGGGTTACACACCAGACTACATTGTGTATCACGAGCTGGTCATGACCACCAAGGTGAGCTTGCACTGCAGGCCAGCAGGACGGGCAAGGAGTGCGCTGAGGGGTTAGGAGGGCTTTGTTGTGATCCTAGGATCTATGAGAAGGGCAGTTCTCAGCCTTTCTCATCCATACCGGTGTGTTCGTGTCACCTGCAGAGTCCTGTTTATCTCTCCCAATATTTTTTCCTGGCATATGTGGGACATGTCTGAACTTTTATGGGCTCACAAAGTCCGGCCCATAGCAGCTTCTGAGGCCAGGAGGAACTGCCTGGCAGGTGCATAGCCTTGGCCTGAGAAGCACCATCAGCACAGGGGTGGGAGGAGGAGACATCTGGGCCCTGCAGGCGCCATCCTGCTGCCTTGGGTCTGTCCTTCTGTCCCTGCAGGAGTACATGCAGTGTGTCACTGCTGTGGATGGAGAGTGGCTGGCAGAGCTGGGCCCCATGTTCTACAGTATCAAACACGCCGGCAAGTCACGCCAGGTGAGTCTCCTGTCCAGGCCAAGCTGGCAGACAAGGCCCGCTGCGTGCCTCTGTAGTGCAGTGGGTGTGTGTTGACATGAAGGGAACAGGCCTGTGGAGAGTCTGCTGCTGGCCAGCCCTCTGCCTGTTCCTCACCTGCTCCCTCACCTCCAGGAGAACCGCCGCCGCGCCAAGGAGGAAGTGTCTGCCATGGAGGAAGAGATGGCACTGGCTGAGGAGCAGCTGCGTGCCCGGCGGGAGGAGCAGGAGCGCCGTAACCCACTGGGCAGC